TACGCCACAGCTCAGAGCCAAGTTCCATCTCTTTCCTGAACCAACTGTCCCCAGAGTGGCCCCTGCCTCCGGTCAGGCCTCCCTCCAAGGTCCCCCTTTCTGAAGCGACCTTCCTAAGCGAAACCGTGCAGCCAGTCCACAGAGGAGGAACAAGGAATGGCCCCGAAACCAAGGAAAAGACGGCCAAACTCACTTCGCATAAGAGAAACACACACTAAAGCTACACGGAGGCTCCTTTGGCTAGGTTTAGTTTTCCCTTGCAGACTAGCAGAGATCAAAGAGCTCGAGAACCAGGCGCTTGGGGAGGCTGAGGAGAGAGGGGCCCCGCAGTCTGTGCAGGGGCCTGGTACCCAGCACATCCCCTGGGAGAACCAGCAGACAGAGCTGACCAATGACAACAGCGTGTGTCCTTTCACCGCCCCCACCCCCAAGCACGTAGCAATTATTCCACAGCTGTGCTCACGTGTGTGTGAATGCGCAGCTGTACAAGGTGACTCAAGGAGCCCTGCTTCTCATAGGAAAGGGCTGGGGGCAACCAAAAGGACGGCCAGCTGAGAACGACGTAGGTATACCATGACACCCTGGAAAGCTAGGCAGCAGCAAAAAAGGGAAACTGAGGACACTTTCTGTGTACTGATATGGGGTGGTCATACATGTAATGTTAACTGAAAAAAAGCAAGGTGCAGAACAACCGGAAGGGCAGAGGCTCAATGAGACGCAGTTTCCCAGACGCCCTGGGGGTCACCTCCACTGCTTCTGACATTACGTAGAGCCTGTCCTCCCCCCAGGACCTGCCGGACCGGGGTGGGGGGGCCCTACTCACCTAGATATTGCCATTTGTGTAGAAAGGATGGGAGGGGCTTTGCTTACACAGGCAAAGAGTATCTCCAGAAGTGTTTACAAGCTGATAATGCTGGTTGTCTGCCTGGGGGCAGGGGTAAGAGGGAGACTTTTGCCTTGGGGGTGGGGTTAGTCACACTGGAGACTCTGGAAAACTGAGTGGTGGGCACCAAAGTAAGAAGGTTGATGGGGCGCCTGGGTGGCTCAGTTGGTTAAGCGACTGCCTTCGGCTCAGGTCATGATCCTGGAGCCCCTGGATCAAGTCCCGCATCGGGCTCCCTGCTCAGCAGGGAGCCTGCTTCTCCCTCTGACCCTCCCCCCTCTCATGTGCTCTCTCTCATTCTTTCTCTCTCAAATAAATAAATAAAATCTTTAAAAAAAAAAAAGTAAGAGGGATGCATGCTGGACAGGGAAGACAGTGCTCACCCACTACCCTCTTGGACTTTCCGCCTCTCCTATGCCATGGTCTACTGGATATCTCTTGTTTCCCAGATCACACCATGCATCTACTTGTATTCTTCCTGACCTTTGCCTTTGCCTCTCCCTGCTCCTTCTGGAACATCTTTCCCTTTCCCTGCCTGGCGAACTCCTATTCATCCATAAACACCCTGCTCAAATATCACGTCCTCCTTGAAGTTTTCTTAACACTCCCATCAGCCTCTACCCCGGAGGACCTCCTTTATGGCACAGAATGTGTTGTTTTAGCATTGGCTATTTGTTTCATTTGGGGTTATCTGTTCCCTGCAAGCCAGGGACCAGCCTTGGCCACCTGCGTCTTCGCTAGTCCAGCATAGACATAGGCAAGAAGTAGAATCAAATAGGAGTTTTCAAAATGAACAGTGACAGAGTGTCTTGAGGAGGTGGGAAGTGGTGAAGACTGCCCCTGCTGATTCTGTGTTCCCCAGGCCAAAGGACAGCCATGCAGCTGGGATGCTCCCAAAGGCCTCTGGGGGAAGTGCCTGGGCTGGTCCCTCCTAGGACAGAGCTGTCCCCACTCTGGAAACCCCCATGGTTCTAGGCCTGGGGCCAAAATCCAGACCCAAAGGAAAGTCCCCCCACAAGGCCTGACACCCAACTCCCCAGGAGGGGTTCAAGACAGAGGCGAAAACTGGGGGAAGCTCCAAGGGGACTCTCATCTGGAATCCCAGCCTCTGGCGGATCAGAGTTCTCTAAAGGGGGGTGAAGAGCAAGGAGTGCAGGGCTGGAGTTGGCAGGAGCCCAGGGGAGGAAGGAAACAAGAAACAATCAAGGAAAAATCCAACCCAGGCCTGGGGTTGGCGGAGGCCATGGGGCCCTGCAGACTGAGCTCAGGCTGAGGTGGAGGAGGCTTCCTAGGGGCGGATGGAGCTCCTGCCCGGCTCCCTGCTGCCCTGTGGCCCTGGGCGGTAGGGGTGCTGAAGCCCCTTCCAGATACTTTGTCTTTTCCCACTGGCCCCCTAGGTCCCCCCAAGATTATCACTACCCTTCCCTTGTGACCCTCTGCTCCCAGACCTGCTCCCAGACCTGCCCCCAGACTCCTGGTCACTATTGTCCCACCTGCATCCCAGAGCCCTAGCTTCCCAGGTAGGTGGGGCTATGGAGAGCTGGCTGCAACCTTGGGGTCCTTCCCTGCCAGCCCCTCCATCCTCCCCACTTAACCTTGGAGGAGAGGGCTTCCGACTCTCTCCATGGGGGCTCGGGCTGCTGACGTAGATGATTTCCAGGAAGAAGGGGCTGGGAGGGGAAGGAAGGGCTGAGTCAGTCACTGTGTGGTGATTACAGGGCCCTGTGGGGGAGGGGGAAGCAGCCATGGGGTGGGAGAAACCAGCTAGACCCATCTCCGGGCCAAGGAGAGCTCCCAGAGGAGGAGAAGGAAGTTGAATAGCCCATTCCAGGCATTTCTCCATCAGTAGCCTTTCTTGCCTCTAGCCCCTCCCAAACGCCCTTCAGGGTCCTGCCCCTTCAGCTACCAGGGTGTCCAGGAGTCCTTCCAGTGAGAACAGTCCAGGCCTTGGCTGAGGTATTAGACCCTGGACATGGGGTGCAGGCGGGGTAAGGGGAGGACACTTGACCTGATTGTCTGTTGAGTCAGAAAAGCAGGACACCCTGGCTATCCCCTGGCCCAGGATCCCAGCCTCCCCGCCCACACTCAGGCCCTTACACACAGCCTGAGAAGTTGCGTAAAAAAAGCCAATTTTAGCAAATGAAATCCTGTTTCATAAATGCACATTAATTGCAGGGCTTCCACAGCCACCGGGTGTGTATGCAAAGATCCTGCCTATTCAGCAAAACCTCAAGGAGAGGAGCTGTCAGCAGGCTCCTGAGGGATTCCTCCAGCCCCAGCCAAGTGACATAACCTCATCTGTGCATGAAGAGGATGAAGCACTCACCTGAGTGCTTGCAAAGCATAGAACCCACCACCAGGCCCCAATCATGCCTTGGATGTAGGCTTTGTGCGGGCGGGCCCTGAGCTCTGGATGATGGCAGGGGTGTACCGAGCAGCATGGGGAGCCAGCACTTAGCTGGAACCTTGTCACATCCAGGTGGACTTAAAACAGTCTCCCCCAGAGCACAGATGGTCGTCCCCATGACTCTGGGCCCTGGTTAGGAGTCCTGGCCTGGCAGCCAGGCTGGAGAGATGGCTCCCTAGTCCCTGAGGGAGGGGAGCAGGGGCTAGGGCCAGGCTGCGGGGGCCAAATCCACTGTTCTCTACGCATCCCCCAATGTTCCCCAGTAGCCCCCCCCCAACCTCTCTGGAACTGGTTCCCAGTGTCATGTGGCCTCCGATGTCTTTGCTGTCCAAACTTCCATCCCTGCAACTTTCTATTTTGTCACCAGCTCTGAATGGAGCTCTTGACCCTTCCCAACCTCCTTCCCCCAAAGGAGGACTCTCAGCAGATGGGTAGAGGGTAGGGGGCCATGTCTCAGCCACATTCCTGCAGGCTCAGGAGGTCTCATCTGTGGAGTCATTCCAGGTCAGGTGGTGAGGCCAGCCTGCTGTCCCTCAAATCGACTGTTCCAATGTTTGCATGAAAGTGGCCTCTGTGTGGGCTCTGTTCCCATCCACAAAGCACACACAAGTTTCTTATCTTGTTTGGGACTCATGTAACTCTCCTTTTACAGGCAAAGAGGCTCAGAAAGGGACTGTCCTTTGCCTGTGGCCACAGAGCAAGTGGGGAGCAGAGCCAGCACGGCACCTGTGTCCATGGCTCAAAGGCAGTGCTGAAGGCTTGGCACAGAGCAGGGGTCCCCTCAGGGCTGTGCTGTGGGAGGAAGTGCAGGGCAAGGGGGCTAGTGGCTGGGTGAGAAGCCTGAGGCAGGAGGAAGGCCCAAAGACCACAGGTCTTGCCCTTTGAGGCGGAGCAGATCACCATCAGGGCCCTGAGCTTCAGTTTTCTGGCTTTCCTAGAGCGCTGAATTCCCAGCGACAAGAATAGCAGCAGGTGCTGCTAGATGCTTCAGTCTCTGTTGAATCACTGAATGGAGGGAGGGCAGGTTCCTTCTGCCTATGTCCCGTGCCCCGTGCAGGGCCTGCCCTTCAATAAATGTTTCTAGTACCGAATGAATGAATGAATGAATGAATGAATGAATGAATGAATGAATGAATGAAAGAAACAAAGTTAGAAGGAGTCTAAGTATGGGTTCCACCCCCGCCCCGGAAGCCACCTAAACTGATGGCAAACGGGCGTGTCCAGGCCACTCTCCCTGCACACCCTCTGTGCCCTCTTTGCTAGGGGGCGGTAAACTCCTGAAAGCTCTTGCAAGTTTGTTAATATTTTAACTCGGGTGCCTCCAAGGCCTCATTCATTCCCTTAGTGGCCACTGAATACACTCGTGCGGGCGCCTCCCCAGACCCAGCCCTCCAGGGAGGGAACGGGTCCAAGGACGCTCGGTGAATTCTGAAGAACTACAATTCGGTCTTCCGGCTGCCGCCCCCTTGGCCCTTCGAACACCGAGAGTTCTGGTTCCGACAGGCACAGCCGGAGTCCGCAGAGTCCAGCCCGGGCACCCGAAACCGCCCGGCCCGCAGCCGCCCGAGCCTACACTGGACCCCGCGCCCCCGCGGCTGCTGGACCTGGGCGCCGCGCCACGGAAGGGGGAGCACAGGCGAGGCCCCGGGTGGGGCGGGGTGTGGGCGGGGCCTGGTTGGGGGCTGCCCGGGCATTGGCTCCCCGGGCCAGGGGCGGGGCCTCAGGGGCCACGGACCTCACTGTGAGTTCAGAGCCGGGATCGCGTCCCAGAGCCGCGCGTCCAGCTCCCGAGCTTTCGCAACCCGCGGGTCCGCCGCCTGCGCGCCTCAAGGTGAGTTCGGGCCGGGACTCTGCAGCGAGTCCGCGACTCCCGGGGGCCCCCTGAGAGGGCCATCCCCGTGGCGCCCCGGCCCGGCTTGCGCCCCGGCCCCTGTGTCACCCCCGCGCATTTCCTTTCCCGGGAGCCTCGGGCTCCATGGTGTTTCCCGCCCGCGCCTCGATCCAGGCGGCCACGCCCGCGCCCCCTCCGCCTGCGAGGCGCCCCGCATCCCGAACCCGAACTTGTGGTTCCGCCCTTCACCCTGAGCCCTCGCCTCCGCCCACACCCGGGACGCGGGAGCGCCCTCCCGCCGCCCAGCGTCCCCGCCCGAGCTGGGGGTCGTATTTTTAGTCGATGGTGAGGTGTCCTCCTATCTTTAGCCGCGGCCTCGAGTGTCCTGAAACGGATCCAGCCTGGGCGCTCCGACAGAGGGCGGGGAGGGGTCGGCGCCGGAACCCGAGCTGGGGCTGAGGAACCGGACCCGCGGGAGCCAGGGGTGGGGGCCTGCTCGTCCGAGCTCTGGCCCTGCGCCCAGCGGACACTCGGACATCGCCCAGGCCGGAAAGCACGGGGGAGGATCCTCCCAAAGCTTGGAGACCCTGGCAAGATCCCCGATCGTCCCTTTTCCCCCCTACTGTCTGGTTGTGAGGCCAGAGCACCCCAAAAGAAGAAGACCCCTCAGACGATCCGCATCTGATACGCGAACGTGCCACTCCTTGGGGGGCCCCTGCCTGGACGGAGTCCGAAGCGCGCTCCAGACTGCGATGCGCGCCGGGACTCCTCCGAGATGCGGGGCGACAGAGCGCGCGCGCGCCACCTAGCGGTCATCGAGCCGTGCGCCGCCCCGCACAGGGACCCCGGGAGACTCCCCGCCGCCGGCGAGCGGGACTCTGCGCAGGCTGCCTCCAGGGCAGGCGGGAGAGGGCGGTCGGTTGGAGGCTGGAGGCTTTCGTTTTTGGTCTTGTTCGGAGCAGTGTCCCCGATAACCAAAATGCTTGAGGAAGCCCCTACAGCTATTTGCTGTAGTGGCCACTAAGTGAATGACAGGGCTGACAGGGACCCCCTAACCCTGTCTGTCGTACATCTCTCATTTGCGCTGTGGCAGTAGGGTCTTCCAGTAGCCCTCTGGTGACGGCTTTGTCAGCCCATTTTATGGATGGGGAAGGTAAGGGCCAGAAAGGAGAGGTGTCTTGCCCAAGTTCACAGTGAGTCCCAGATGGAGATGGATTCAAGGTACGGCTCCTGATTTCAAGGTCAGGGGGTGGCTCTTTGAACACCGTTGGTGGGGAGTGGCCTAGTACTCCTAGCGACAGAAGGGGCTGTGCCTCCCGGAAGTATTTCTCTCTGAAGGAGGCCCAGGGCTCCTGTCCAGGGCAAGCTCCCATCTGCTCCTCCCACTTCTGGGGGAAGCCACCCTCAGGCCCCCCATAGCCTTGTCCTGATGGAGAGCTCATTCTCATATCTCTGGATCCTTGCAAGTTGGGGGAGAGGGGCAGCCAACTGGACTTAAATGGAGGAGGCCTGGGGACCGAGTGGCCCCAGCCTAGCTGGGAGCCTGTTTCTTCCCGCTCCCCAGTTTTCAGAGGTTGGGTGGCCCACTGCATCAGAGCCACAGGAACCTGGCTGGGTACTGGGGCCCACTTTTCCTCTTCCCAGCGGGCGACCTCAGCAACATTAAGGTCTCTGAGGTTCAGCTTTTGCCTCTGTAAAAGGCGGTGGTGACGCCCACCGTGCTCTGCCTGGGAGCTTTAAAATGGGAACCGTGCAAGGGCAGCTGGAGCCTGGGGTCTCATGCTTGCCAAATCTGAATGCTTGGGGCTTGATGAGTGCAATTCCCAGCTCTCCCCTGGGTGGCTGATGCTGGCCCAACCCTTCCCCCCAGCCCCAGTTCTCCCCACATCTGGAACTGGGTGGGTACATCTGGCTCAGAGTGAGACAGCTGTCAGGGACGCCCAGTTTGTTGTGGAAACACTCAGGCTGTCTTGGCGCCCTGTGTGATGGGGCGGGGGATGACAAATCCCACCAGTCTGACCCACTCTTCATGAGTGGAAAGGAAGGAAAAGCTGCCCCAGGACTGCTTGCCTACCAAGGAGACAGGTAGGATGTGTGTTGGCATGCCCCCAGGTCTGGCATGGTGGTCACAGGTAAAGGTCTGTTCTGTGAGTGAGGGATGGGATCCCAGGACCTCGCAGTGCCCACTGCCTCCCCCACCCTGCGCACAGCTCCTTCCAGGCTTAGCTGGAATCCCGCCACTGGAGAGTCATTCCTTTGTTTCCTGTTAAACTGCAGGTGCTCAGGGAGGGGCAAGATGTCCGGTCTCTGTGGCTATGTGTGACTGACCTGGGGTGTCCGGTCCTGGGTGAGGTTTCCTGAGTGAGGGCCTGGGCTGGGAGTTGGGACTCTGCCTCTCCTGCATCCCCCTTCCTTCTTCCTGCTCCCTCCTGCCAGCCCCTCATTCTCTCCTCACCCTGCCCAGGATGGAGAATGGGGCCTAGGACCCGCCAGGGCTCCCAGCTGTGGCTGGCTCCGCCCCTCCTGGCCAATTTCCTACCTGCTCAGCCCCTGGCGGCTCAGGGAGGGGGCAGTGGGGGAGGGGTGCTCATCTGGTTACCCTCTGGATGACCTTGGACACATTTCTTTTCTTTGCCTTTTGTGCTCAGATTCTACATCTGGGCTCTCTCGTAGCCCCGTTTGAGGCGAGTCCCCCACCGTGGGAACGCCAAGGAGGGCCTGCATCGCTTCCTTTTTCTGTTAAACCAGTATGACACCCCGCCAGAGTGCACTTATTTTTTCCACATTAAAAATAGCTTTATTTTTTCTGATTACATAAGTAATATGTGCACCTAAGTAACACATGCTTATTATTAAGATTTTGAGCTTATAAAAGTATGAAGAAGAAAGGCAAAGTCATCTGAAATCTGCTATCTTGAGAGAACCATCACCAACATTTTGGCAACCATCCTTTTCACAGTTACATATATCATTTTATAGTAACAGTACCAAATATTATAGGTAATTTTTTTCGAGGACACCTTTCCATGTCACTGACCCCACACCCCTTCCCTGACCCCCACCCCACACCCCTTCCCCGACCCCCACCCCAGTCTACATAGCCCATATGACAACTCAGCGCTGGCCTTCCAGATTCTTCTCTCTTTTTATGTAAGATTATATCTATGCGGACCTGTGTCTGTAGGTACACATACATGCATGCATATATGGGGAAGGGGCAGAGGGGAGGGGAGTTGGTCACTGCTGTCAGAAATGGAATTTTTTTTTTAAGATTTTATTTATTTGAGAGAGAGAGAGCTCTCGAGTGGGGTAGAGGTAAAGGGAGAGAATCTCAAACAGACTCACCGCTGAGCGTGGAGCTCAACGCAGAGCTCGATCTCACGACCCTGAGATAGTGACCTGAGCCAAACCAAGAGTCAGACGCTTAACCGACTGAGCCACCCAGGTGCCCCAGAAATGGAATCTTCCAGACTACGCTTTTGCATTTTGCTTCTCTCCCTCGGCAGTGCCTTGTGCAAATCCCTCCAAAATGTGTTCTGACTGCAATGTTTAAATGAGGATGAGAGGAGGGTGGTTGCAATGATTAAATGAGATGTGTTTGCAAGGAACTCAGCAAAATGCCAGGCACAGAGCAGAGCCCCCCAGAATATTTGTACCCTCCACTCCATCTAACCCTCAGGTGCTGGGAGGGGTGGAGGGACAGTAACTATGTCAGACTCGGTCCGGGAGCTAGGAACCGCTAACCCGGAGGAAAAAGGGGGAACTCCAACGTGACCCCACTTCCAGGTGGGACGAGATTGGGCCGATCAGAATGTGTCTACATTCGGCCCTGTTGGCTGAACACCTGCCGCGTGTCCAGGCCTGGCACAGACAGGTGGGCGAGACAGAGGTTATGGGATCTCTCTCCTTGGTCAACTAGGGGATTGAGACAAGTCTGTGAGACCGCCCCCCCAACAATCTTGACACTTGTTACATCTTGGGGCACAGTTGATGTGCAGTAGGGGCTGAGCACCCAGACAACAGTGAAGAGCAAAGCCGGAGACCCAGGGCAGGAGACCAGAGCCAGGACTTGGGATATGACTCCGGGCCCGTCACCCAGGTTCGCGGGCCTCAGCTTCCCCACTGGTCAGGAGGGGGGCTCGGCGCTAGTTATCCAGGCCCCAAGGGGCAGTGAGTCTGTAAGCGAACAGGCCCTTCTTCCAACATGGTTTCCATGGGAGAGTGGCCCCACCTGGGCTCCCGGGGCCGACGCAGGGCCCCCCAAAATGGCGCGGATGCCTCTGCCTTGTGTCCTTCTGTCCCTCACTTATACCTTTGGTATTGCAGCTCCTCAGCCCCCGGGAGACACTCGCGAGGACAAGACCGGAGAGCGTTGCTCCCTGCAAGACCTCCACCTTGCGGCTGCTAATTTTCCAGAGTATTTTCAACTCTTTCGGGAGAAAACGATTTTCGTTGTCTCAGCCCTCTGACTTCATTGATCATTACTCTTTCTTTTTCTCGTCCCTTGGGCCAACGTCGGTCACACCCCACACGGCAGTCTTCGCCCTTCGGCGAGGTTTTGGTGTCTCTGGCCAGGGCGGCGAGAGGAGGTAGCAGGAGGCCGCGGTCCCCGCGGGTGCACCGTCCCGAGCGCCGGCAGCCAGGCCTGGGCGCTGAGGTCACAATGTCCACCAAGGTGCCCATCTACCTGAAGCGTGGCAGCCGTAAGGGCAAGAAGGAGAAGCTGCGGGACCTGCTGTCGTCGGACATGATCAGCCCGCCGCTGGGGGACTTCCGACACACCATCCATATCGGCAGCGGTGGGGGCAGCGACATGTTCGGCGACATCTCCTTCCTGCAGGGCAAGTTTCACCTCCTGCCAGGGACGGCGGTCGAGGGACCTGAGGAGGATGGCGCCTTCAACCTGCCCTTCCAGTTCACCCGCACCGCCACTCTGTGCGGGCGGGAGCTCCCCGAAGGGCCGTCCCCTCTGCTCAAGAATGCCATCTCCCTCCCTGTCATCGGTGGGCCCCAGGCCCTCACCCTGCCCACAGCCCAGGCCCCACCCAAACCCCCTCGCCTGCACCTGGAGACCCCACAGCCTTCCCCGAAGGAGGCAGGGAGTGTGGACATTTGGAGAATTCCAGAGGCTGGCTCTGCCCACAACGGGCTGACCCCCGAGTCAGGGGCTGAGGAGCCCTTCCTGTCCCATGCCAGCTCCCTGCTCTCCCTGCACGTGGACCTGGGGCCTTCCATCCTGGACGACGTCCTCCAGATCATGGACCAGGACCTGGGCCACATGCAGATCCCCACGTAGGAGCAAGGCTGGCCAGGCCAGGTGCTCAGGATCAAACGATTGCTGGGAGGCAGAGGGGCGATGCAGCCCTGGCCTAGAAGTCAGGATTCCCGAGGTCCCACTGTGTGGTCGCTGGCCAGTGATTTCTTTCTTTGAGCCTTTGTTTCCCTCCTTCCCAGCCCCTCCCTAGGGGCAGAGTGTGCCTCATTGCTTTCCCCTAAAACGCACTAAGGACACCTGCAGAAGTCAGCCCAAAGTGCCCTGAGCATCTTGGGCCACCTGGACCCCCACCACCAACTGCTCCTCCTTCCCTCACATCCCTTGGATGAAGGCTTTGCCAAGATGGACTCCTCTTTCCACCTGCCTTCTGCCTCATCCCCGTGGGATGCCCTGATTGGGGGTGGGGCGGGGGGGAGGCACAGCACAGCCAGGTAGACCTTTGGCTCTGTGTCCTGGACTGAGAACATGGCATTGATGACCGAATGTCCCTCGGCCCCATCCCCCTCACATGACCAGGAGGTTCTGGTCGCAATAAAACTTGCTGCTGCTGGTGGTTGTGCTCCCCGCACCCTTGACCTAGGTTCCCTCTGGAAGACAGACCGGTCTCTGCAAACTGGGCTGACCTGGGGGCGGGGGGACCCCACTCCCAGAAAGTTTCGTGCCCTTTGAAATCTTCTATCTGGGAGTAGGAACCAACCAAATGCCAACTGGAGATATTGGTGTTTACAGGAGGTGGCTGAGCACTGGTGTAAGCCAGGCGCCGTGCCCAGACTGCAGGGGTCTATTGGGGGAGACCCAAGAATGAAAGAATAACCCCTAGTGCAAGGGACCAGCAGCTTCTCCAGCTTCAGAGGACTAAGGGAGCACACAGGAGGGAGGGCCGGGCCTGGGGCCGGGAGGTGTCCGACTGTGCTTGTCAGCACTATTTAATGAGCATCTACAGGGCACTCAAGCGCATTCCAGGTGCTGGGGATATCAGACAGACGCAATCCCTGCTCTCCTGTAGCTTAGATTCTAGTGGGAAAAGGATATTGAATTTGTAAGCAAGTAAGAGGATTTCCTACCATGTTGAACAACTATGAAGAAAACAAGATCGAGAATGCCTGGGGCAGAGGTGCAGCTGGTGTCAGGGCCCATTAAGATGGTCAGATGTGATTCTGAGCCAAACCTGAAGGCTAAGATATGCTTGTGCATAAGCAAAGACACTGAGGCACCGGAGTGAATGACAGAGGAGCCGCCAAGTGGTGAAAAGAGCATAGATCTCTGGGTCTGACATAGTCTGTGTGAGATTCAGTTTCTCCATCTCTAAAATGGGTCGACTACCTACCTTGCAGGGTTGTGGGAAAAAATAGGGACAAGGTTTATGAACTGCCACATGGAAGGTACTCAAAAGTGGCTATGGACACAAAGGACTCGGAGATCGGGAGAGGCAGGACTGTGAAAACAGGTTGGAGTCAGCTGGGAACAGCTTTGCTTACAAGGCTGAGCAGAGGCAATGGGGAGCTGCAGAAGGATTTTAAGCAGGAGAGACACGTGGTCAGATCCAGGTTTTAGGAGGGTCACCACCGGGGCCAAGGGACGATGGACTGAAGGTCAGAGAGGAAGAAGCCATTGCAGGATGAGGAGGCCTGGACGGGGCAGGGACAGTGGGGACAGAGGAGGGGAGAGTGCCAAGGTGGGGCTTGTGTCCGACTGGTACAGACCACGCGGGTGGCTGGGGACAGGTTCAAGCCTCGGTTGTTCCCTTCTTCCATTCTCCGCTGGTTCTTCTCCATCCTCCTGACCCTGAGGATCCCAGACTCCCAGCCCGCCCCCAGCCTCTCCTGCCTCCGTTCCCTGTGTCAGATTTCAGAGTGGGGGCTGAATTTGACCCCGAGGCATTTTGCTTGGCCACAGAGCTACGTGTGTGTGTTAAAATATATACAATATGAGACTGACCATTTTAACCATGTTTAAGTGTATGATTTAGTGGCATTAAATACATTCATGTTATTCTGCAACCATCACCACCATCCATTTCAGGACTTTCTTCATCTTCCCAAAGTGAAACTCCATACCCATGAAACACTAACTCCCCACTCTCCCTTCCCCCAGCCCTCAACCACCATCTACTTCCTGTCTCTACGAACGTGACTACTCTTGGGACCCGATGTAACTGGAGTCACACAGTATTTGTCCTTTGGTGATCGGCTTATTTCGTTTAGCCTGACATCTTCAAGGTTCATCCATGTGTTGAAATTTCCTTCTTTTAAAGGCTGAATAATATGTCATTGTCTGTCTATCCCACATTTTGTGTATCCGTACATCCATCAATGGACACCCGGTTGCTTCTACCTCTGGGCTACTGTAAACGATGCTGCTATGAACATGAGTGCACAAATACCTGAATCCTTGCTTTCCATTCTTCTGGGTATATACGCACAAGTGGAATTGCTGGATCATACTATGTCATTCTATATTTGATTTCTTGAGGAACCACCATCTTATTTTCCATAGAAGCTGCATCATGTTACATCCCCGCTAAACTTTGTCTTTTTAGTCAGAAGATTTTGCCATCATTAGAGATTAGGGGTTTCACTATCAGTAGTGGGATTTTACCCAGATCTGTGAGACCCTGAAGCCTATACTCGACTGCAACCCTCTCCCCCAACACGTGTTCCACCCCAGACCCTGGTAAAGTGTGAAGGCCAAGGGCAAGGAGCAGAAGAGCCCAGCTCCTTGCCTGCAGGCTCCCTCTCTGTGCTTGAAAGGCTTGTACCTTATGCCTTGGAAAGGGAAGACAAGACAAAAAAGCAAACCTTCCTTAGAGCTTTGCCCAGCTGGAAGGCTGCACCTCACCCTGGACCTGAGCTGAGGTCACAGAAGCCATGCCTGTCTTGGGTCCGTTGGAACTGCTCCCCACCCATCCTGCATCAGGCACCCGCCCAAGGGCCCTGGAAAACCACTTGGGGCTACTGTGTCAGGCTGGAAAAAGGGAACTAGGCAGGGCACCTGAAGCGTCAGATTAACTAAACTAGGAATACTTGCTTGCACCAAAGTAGCCATGGGTGAAGAGAAGGATCTTTCCTCTTCAGCTTGTATAATGCTGCTCAGGCGCCGTGCCCTCCAAACACCACCCACAAAAAGGAATTCCCCAAAATAGAAGAAGTTGTTGGGCACCCAGTGTCCCCACCGTCCACTGTTTGAGATGCCCAACATCCATGCATTACTTCCTATAAACGTGAGGTAATATAAGCCTCCCTAGTATAATGCATCTACTCCTCTTTCTGTCAAAAATGTATTCACTCTTCTTCCAAAGGGAGACAACTCAAAATCTTGTTCATGATCACACCCACTTGCAAGGCCAGGATTCTCAGATGTTCATTCCTCCCTCCTGCAGTTTTTTTTTTTTTTTACCAACCCATCTCAATGTTTTGCAAACTATGAACTATGCTGTAAAGTTAATTACCACCAGTACACCCTATATGCAAGAGTGGAAAGAAGGAGAGAAGAATGGGAGAATTAAAATATGTAAGAATATACTTGACACAGCAAGAAGAGAAATATATGTAAAAGCGACAGACTTTTTCTACAAAATGTGGCTGGTATGAATAACTTCCCCTCCTTCACTATCCAGTTCATATTCCCCTTGCCTTCAAAGATTTTCTTTTCCTTTTTTTTTTAAGGATTTTATTTTTTTAATGTAATCTCTACCCCCAGCTTGGGGATTGAACCCATGACCCCGAGATAAAGAGTTTCACGCTCTACTTACTGGGCCAGCCAGGGGCCCCTTCCCTTTGCCTTCAGCCTGCATCTTGGTGGTTCAGGGTTTTTTACCAGGGCCACATCGTCCCATACCTCTATTTTTAAAGAATCTGAGTCCTCGGTGGATCTCCCTGTATAGAGTTGACTTTTTCCCCAAAGGTTTTATTTTGAAACATTTCAATCCTACAGAAATACTGAAAGACAAGTACAATGTAAATCCATATACCTTCATTCAGATTTGCCCTTTTTTACCATTTGCCTCATTTGCTTTATCTCTTTGCCCATAAAAATTATTATCCTGACCTTTTGAAAATAAGTTGCAGACATTATAACACTTCATCCCAAATACTCTAGCATTTACTTCCATGAAGTCTTTATTTAGCTCAATTCAGTCTTATTTGGCTTCTTCAGTCTATGGATTCACATCTTTCAGGGATGCCTGGGTGCTTCAGTCGGTTACATGTCTGCCTTCAGCTCCGGTCATGGTCCCACAGTCCTGGGATGGAGCCTCTCAACGGGCTCCCTGGTCAGCGGGGAGTCTGCTTCGCCTTCTCTCTCTGCTCCTCCCCCCTGCTTGTGCTCTCACTCTCTTTCTTTCTCAAATGAATAAAATCTTAAAACAAACACCTCTTGGGGTGCCTGGGTGGCTCAGTCGTTAAGCGTATGCCTTCCGCTCAGGTCATGATCCCCTGGTCCTGGGATCGAGCCCCGTGTCGGGCTCCCTGCTCCGCAGGAGGCCTGCTTCTCCCTCTCCCACTCCCCCTGCTTGTGTTCCTACTCTCGCTGTGTCTCTCTCTGTCAAATAAATAAATAAAATCTTTAACAAACAAACAAACAAACACCCCTTTTAGCATTATTGGAAAATTATCATTTTCTCTTTAAACATTGCCTCTGCTCCTTTCTCTCTCCTTACCCTCTGACATCCAATTAAATGTATATTAGGGGGAGCCTGGCTGGTTCATTCAGTTAAGCATCTGACTTTTGGTCTCAGCTCAGGTCTTGTTTTCAAGGGTCGTGAGTTCAAGCTCTCGTTGGGCTCCACACTGGGCATGGAGCTGACTTCATAAAAACATCTTTTTTTAAATGTATGTTAGATCTCTCTGTATATCTATGTTTCTGCTCTACTTCTGTATTTTCTGTTCTTTTGTCTTTCTATGCAGTAATAAGGACAATTTCTGCCTATCCAGCTTCTAGTTTCTATGTTCTCTCTTCAGCTATGAGTAATCTGCTTAAAGGACTCATTGTGTTCTTAATTTTGATTATCGTATTATTCAGTTTGAGAAGTTCTATGTTGTTCTTTTAAAATTCTGTTGTGGCACTTCTTAATAAGTACTTGTCCCCTGCAGATGTGGGTTGTTTTTTTATTAAGATTTTATTTATTTATTTATTTGACAGAGCAAGAGAGCACAAGCAGTGGGAGCAGCAGAGGGAGAGGGAGAAGCAGGCTCCCCGCTGAGCAGGGAGCCCAATGTGGGGCTCGATCCCAGGACCCTGGGATCATGACCTGAGCCGAAGGCAGACGCTTAACCAACTGAGCTACCCAGGTGCCCCCCCCACAAATGTTTTTATACTGGTTTTTTACTCCTTTATACACAATAAGCAATGTTATTTTATGGTCAGTATCAGATAATTCTGATATGTTAAATCTTTGTGTGGGTCAATTTATGTTTTATATTTTTTGTATTGATTCTTGTGCAAGGTTTCTTTTTACTCTGTGCCTGATTATCTTTGACCATGGGTTGGATGTCATATCTGAAAAATATATTTTTAGAAATAATTTGGGGGGCACCTGGGTGGCTCAGTCGGTTG